TCCCCACCGGTCGTCCTGCTCTATACCCCAGTACGACTGCGCGTGTCCAGTGCGGTGTAACTCCCTTGTCCTGTGCTTCCTACCGTTCCGGATTATTCTACCTGACGCTCCAGTGTAGCGGTCCCCCAGGCTCCATCATTTTAGGTACAGCCTGTCCTTTTCCGTTTACGGTTTAGCGTCCCTACAGTTGTACCACACCCAACTTGAAGCCACGCGGCGATCCGACGGACATCTCTGAGTTCAGAGAAGAAGAGGCCCTGTGGGCCTCGCACCCGACATCAAGGAGCTTACTAGCATCCTCGAAGCCGACGAGGTTGAACAACCCTCTGCTCGATGTCAATCTAAAGTCCGTCAATCGCTGCAACTCCTTGTTCGGAACACGGTATCACGGTATCCAGTCTTAGCTCCAACCAGGAGTCTCAATTTAAACTCAACACACGAGCCTCCACAGCCGGAGAACGACATTGGGAACACTGCAGTCGTAGCTCCTTCGAATCTACCTTTCCACCTTGCGTCGTCGAAGCAAAAAGCCCTTCAACAAATTCAAGAGGTAGTTGGGAATAAGCCCACCTCTGAATTCAAACTCCAACTTGCTCCGCGATGGGTCGTCGATCAGGCCATAGCCGAAGAGAAGGGGAACTACGCACCAGACGAGGCATTCAAGGAAGTTCCGTTTGGGGAACTCCCACGAAATGCCAATGTGATATCTTCCCACCACCTCTTTCAATGCAAGACCTACGGAGAAGGAGGAAGCTGAAGCTGAAGTGTCGCCTAGTTCCACATGGGAACAGGGATCGCGAAAAGGAATTCGTTCGCAAGGACTCTGCAACAGCTCAGTTCCCAATCATTAGGATCATACTCTCCCTTGCGGCAATAATGTCGTTGTCGATTGCCTCAATAGACATGAAGGGAGCATACTTGCAGGCTGGTCAATTTCCCAGAGACATGTATGTCAGGCCACCCAAAGGTTGGGCATCGTCCGTCCGCACAGTCTGGAAGATACTCAAGCCGGCCTACGGGATTGTCGAATCTCGACGCCTATGGCAACTCGTTGCCGAAGAATGGATGTCCAAACAAGGACTCGTACAAGTACCTGGTCTTCTCCAACTCTTCGTGAAATACAATCGCAGGGGCTCGATAGACTTATTTGTTTCAAAGGTTGTCGATAACTTCCTTGTGGTTGGTGTTCTTCCCCTCATTCACCAATTTCACGAAGCCATATATCACAGGTTCATCGTCGGACGGTACGTCGTGAACAAGGACTTGGTCTTCAATCGTCTTAATATGTACCAAGAGCCTTGCGGGTCCACGAGCATTAAAATGCAGGAGTACGTGGACAAAATAGTTCCAATTGAAGTGTCAAAGGAAAGGAGAAGACAGCACCAAGACAAGTGCACTGCTTCCGAGTTGACAGCGTATCAAGCCCTTGCAGGAAGTTTAAACTTCCTTGGACACGGCATTCTCCCACAAGCGGCTTACGCAGCCAGCTACCTTCAGAAAGCTGTTGAGCGCTTGAAGGTGGCCGATCTCATGAACGGAAACAAGTTGCTTGGCGAAATCAAAGCGCTTTCGCCGATCCTCTTATTTCGAACACCGTCGTCTCTCTTGAATCCTTCCCACCTCGCTTTCTCAGACGCCAGTCAAGGTGGCTCCTCATACGGGCAGACAGGTTATGTATCCGGCCTATATCTGCCAGCAGGGGGTGCGGGGATCTACCACGTCCTTGACTGGATCAGCTGCAAGCAGAAGCGCGTTGCCTTTTCATCCATGGGGGCAGAGATTCTTGCTGCCGCAACATCATCCGACAGAGGCTCATTAATGGCAGAGAGCTTACAAACGCTTCACAAGGCCACGGCCAAGCTTCCCTTCGTGCTAACGGTGGACTCACACGGGTTGTACTCCACCGTGACCACCCTGCACGAAGGTGCAGACTATCGCTTGAGGCCGACAGTCGCAAGGATCAGGGACTCTTTCGAGAACGGGGAAATATCCGTGATGCCATGGGTAAGCGGCACGCAAAACCCCGCCGACGCATTAACCAAGAGAAACGTCGAGATGTTCAAGATTCTTAATGGAATCATGCAGAGAGGTCTTCTGCAGGACGAGGTTCTTCAAGGCTCACGGCGGATCAGGAGAGCATCGAGTGCCTCAATGTATTTCTCGGGCTCCTTTACTCGCTGTCGTCCTCCACTACCTTCGTCCTCTTCTTCCTTCTCCCATTACTATCATGTTCCAAGGGAACCTTTTTCTTTCTACGCTCACTCCGAGCTTTACCAGACCTCCTGCGATTTTCTTCCCCTTCCGGACAGGCTGCAATTTGAGCTTCCGAACTTCGGCAATTTCAAATGAATCGCAACCAACTCCAAGGCATGCACCCAGCACGCCGGGGGCGATTTGCAAGCGCAAAGCGCTCTACAGGATTAAGAACATGGCCCTTTTCGGCGTCAAGAACCACCACGTGGTCCAAGCGCTCGCCTAGATCGTCAAGAGCAACGATTCGGATCAAGAAGGTACCGTCCACTCTGTCCCTCATCCACTTGCTGTGGCTTTCCAAGACGGGGACGCTGAACGTTTTCAGGCGGTACCTCCCAAGATTCTTCTCATTCCAGATTTGGAACTCTGCAAGGCTTCAAACTCTGAAAGGTCCCTTGTGGAGCATTCGAAGTGCCGGACCCTCTCCTACAACGGAGTACAGCGCGTTAGCGAAGGAAGCACGCACGCACTCGCTGTGTGTTGCGCGGCAGAAGAGTGCTCGGTGCGTACGATAAGGCCTGGTCAGTCTCGTGGCCTCGCGATGACCAGGGCCCCCAATACCCACGAACTCGTCTGGACGGCTGGTGCAATACTGGTCCAGCCACTCCAATGCTTGGGCTGTCTTCTGAGTACCGAACACGAGCTCAACCTCGGAGCTCCCCTGCCCGTCCGCAAGAGTTACTTCCATATCGCTAGTGACTGGGCTCCCTGCCGAATCGAGTATCGACACTGCACTTGCCTCGAGGGTACGAAAGTCCACCCTCCAGAAGGCCTTCCGCCCGCCTACGCTTCGATGCGAAGCGTAGTTCTGACCCGCGCGGAAGCCGTACGTACTACCCGCGGCCAATACCACTCTTCGAACCTCCCAACGACGCTGCTCGTGCTCCGACGGGCCCATTGCGTTAAGCAAGCCGCACCTCGCCAACGTCGCAACCTCGACCTTCCTTCCCTTCCTTTCCGCCAACCAGTCCAGAAGAACCTCCGAAGTACTTGTTCCGATGCTCAGCTTCTGGACGACTTGTTATCGACTGAAGGCAACTCCCCCGCCGCGGGCCTCGACGAGGGTCTCACTGGACTTCCAGTTCCCCCCTAGTCACGCCATGGTCTCGACCGCGAGCTTCCCCTCACCCTCCTCGAGCCACAGGCCAACCATCACGCGAGAGAGTGCACGAACCCCGATCCCTGGCCTGTCGGATCTCTGTAGGTTCGAGGAGGTCGCACGCTGACTCGGGGAGGAAGTGACCTGTCGTTGGTGGAAGCTCGGAAGCGGGAAGCAACGAGGCGTGGGAGTGATGGCGGAGAGGCGGAGCGGCGATATGGTGTGAGAAGCGAAGCGGTGATGCGATGCGCGAGGTCAACCGGCGGAGCGGTGATGCAATGCGCGAAGTTAACCGGGGGAGCGGTGATGCGGTGCGCGACGTCGAGCGGCGGAGCAGCGATGCGGTGAGCAAGATCGAGCGGACGCTGAACGGAGCGAGTGTATGGCGAGGACTGGCGGTGGGTGCGCGCAGGTAGCTACTACCGGAAGCTGTTGGTCCGCGCTGGATTTGGGGGTCCGAAAGGGCGTCGCGAGAGAAGAGGAACAACTCCAAAAGCGAGCGCTCTTACCCTAGGCAAATCCGGAAGGCCGCTTTGCCGGGACAATGGATCGGGAGTCAAGCGGCGGCGGCGCGGCGTCAGATCATATAGGGTTGGCGCCGACGCCGGATCAGCCGGCGCCGCGTGCCCCAATTTTGGGGCCAACAGGGGGTGTGTGGGAAGCTAGAAATTGAAGTTTATTTGTTTAGCCCTAAATCTGGAAAAAGGGAAATTATCCGCGCGACGCCCCGGCGGGAAATCCGGCGACATAAAAGTCCGAGGGCGGTATCCCGACCGACCCTCGGGGGTAACTTGCTACCCCTTACAGTGCCTGCGAAAAGTCGCGAGACTCTCCGTCCGAAGTATCCCCGTCCCCCTCACTCTCGCGACTTCTTTCTCCCGCCGCTGCGCGCGACGAGCGCGGCTACTACTAACCTCATCGTTCCCGTTCTCCCACAGTACCTTTCTGGGCGGCTCAATTCTACACGGTTTTCAGGACAGCGAAAATCTTTGAATTTACCAATCAAAACGGCAGTTGCTTGCCCGCGCCGAGGCCCGGAGGGGCTTCAGATCACGAAAAGGGGTCAATTATGAAACGAACGCGGAGCACGTTCAACGCAAATGTGCCAAACGCATCAATCCCGATGCCGCCATTTCGGTTCTCCCGTGCGACCAACTCCCTTCGCCCTCGACCTCGCCCCTTCTTCGTGCCCTGCCCCATGATGCTAACGGGATATCATCCCAAACGTCCAAGTATGGGTCCTCGCGCGCTTGACCGGAATGCCGCCCGGTAGAGGGCACGTTGTTTTTCTTGTTATCATCACACCTAAAGCCGATGATCGGCCCTTGACTGTTCTCTCGAGTAAAGCGTCTGGATTGCAAAACACAATTTTCACTACTCAATGTGACACCTTTTTCCCGCCTTTTTCCCGCTGAGCCTTCAGATGCTGAGCTGCAGGCTTTAGCAGCGCATGACTTGCAGCCTCTTTGCGCAACTTACACAAACTTGGGAGGCGTCACGTCGGAGATCAGGAGTCGGTTGGCCTTGAAATTATCTTTTAGAAGAACCTCTATCTTCGCTAACGTTTTTTTGCGGTGAACCATCCCCATTTGATAGAACGACGTACAGTTTTTTGCAGATCTAATTGCTCAGTTGTTCCTCTGCAGAATCATCCCGGATCAGCTAGTTGGCTAGTGCCCTTAACCTTTTCTCGAACCCACTCTTCAGTTATTACTGCACCTTTCGTCGAGCCGTGTAACTTCTGCCAGGTGGGTACCAGCGAAGAGTGAACCAGCACGTGTGTGCAGTCGCCATCGACTTCCTTCTCGCTCACGACTCGCCCGCCAAAAGCCGACAGCAGCGCCACGGAACCATGTACTTCTACTTCCGTGTCAGGAACTAATACTGTTAACCCATGGAACACATTACCACACCTTTTCATTGCTCGTTTCACTCTCTCCCTCACGCCTTCGAGAACATCATCACCATTCCCAACTTCAGGCTGCTTCGCTGTCCATTTAGATACTTCATCGAGAGAATGTACCAGTTCCGTAATAGAGGTTTCTTCTTTCCATGAATCACCGAACCGGTCCGCTTTCTCGAACAGTTCCGACTCAAGCGTCCTGTTCGCATATACGACATCGTTCAAACTAGGTAGCGTACGGGTCTTTGTAGATAGACATTCTTCAACCCAGTTGCTATGAACAATAGAACAAGTGTCTTCCTTTTCCCGTATGTTGGAGAACCGTTCTTTGAGTATTTTCACTCTGGATACGTGAATACTCGTGCATATGACAAAATCCACTGAGCTTCCGAAGTTCTGTACAAATTTGCCTCCAAGCCGGTGAATTTGTAGCTCTACTTCTTCCTTTAGTTTCGGGTTTGAGGCGATAACAAAAAATGTAAGCCCCTCGAACGCTGTAGAGACTCGATCAACCTGCGTCACGTCCGCTCCGACTGCGGATGCAATGACGGACCGCGGATTTCGGCCTCCTGTGATGACATGCCCTTCAAGTTTAACGCGTTTTACAGCTTCCTCCTCCTCGGCGTCAAACAGTCTTCTGGGCTTCTTACCGCCTGTGTATTCCGAAATGTCATCGATATCCGACTCGTCTGGGCGAATTGTTGCGGGAAGCTTGTTTTCATCTAGGTCAAGAAGATGAGAGAAGCTTGGGACGTCAAAATATGGTTTATCCCAGTTGATGCGTTCGACCCGCGGAAATCGTAAAGCAAAGTATCTCCGGTTGACCTCAAACGCCCGCACCGTCAGCACGATAGACTTCCACGGCTCAATCCATTTTACGACATCAGACAACAACGACGGTGCATAATCCCTGCCCTCGAAGTGTTCAGGCAAGTCTTTTGCATTGAAAGTTTTCCATTCTCCACTCAACATATTTTGCATCTGCTCAAGCTCAGAATCCGAGTAGCCAGTCCCAACGCTTCCCACTGGTACCCATTTGCACTTCTGCATTCGCTGCTCCCACTCGCCACCGCGTCCTTTCCATGGTGGTGTCCCATCGTTTGCTCTTACACCGATCAAAAACGAACTTAATCGTCCTGCCCTCTGTTTGCGATGTCCTCGGCTGCTACTGTACTTTGCACCAAGTATTAGCACATCGAGGTCCTGGATGCCGCCGTCGAAGTAATCAGGTTTAAGCTTGATTGCAAGGTCTAGACTCCTTTCCGCAAGAGCATACGGCATATCTGGGTTCTTCGCAATAACACCCTCATACCCCAATGTCTCGTATCGCTGAAGAGCCTGTGTCAGGTCCCGCTCGTTATAACCTAGCTCCATGTCAACGACCTCTATGCACGCTGTCGCCCCGATGCCGTATGAAGCCTCTCTCTTAGTGACCAGTTTTTCCAGCAGTATTCGTCGCTTATGCAAAGGCAAGCGAATGACCATGTTCCCACTGCGTCGTGCTTCACTGTGTTTCCTTTGCCCTTGATCGACATAGAGCACATCGAAAACCATGTACTTCAACGTATATGATGATCCTTCCGGTACGTTGCGTTTCGCAATTGACGTGGCGACTTCTCGGGTATCTTCAAATCTCAACCACGAAGATCTGAGGTTGTCCCATATCATGATTTCTCCGTCGAGAATGATATTTTCAGCCTGTACGCCGGCAAGGATGACTTCTCGCATCGCACCAGCATACATCGCACTGCTTTCATTTCCTCTTCTGGAAAATGTGCGGACCTCTTGCACGCCAGTCCCATCGTCTGAATGCGTACTCCTCTTATGCAGTTGCAGCCTTTCTCCATCTAGCTTTGGTTCCATGATAAAGTATTGCCGGGCTTCCTGCGACAAATCGCTTGTTGTTCGGGTTTCCAATTCTTTTTGCGTCTCTGGTTCAGCCGGTTCTCCCGCTCCTCGAAGATTTTCACAAATAACATTAAGCTTTTTTCGTGAAGGACGCATGCAGAGCATCACGCTCGCGTACTGGCCAACCTGCACAGAGGCATCTCCAATCTCAAAATGAGGATCCGAGCAATCTTTCAAAAGTTGGTGTATGTCATGAATTTGCGTGTAGTGCTGTTTGGCCCCGGGATGAAACCAAGACAAGAACATGTCTTCAGAAAGCCGAATGTCAACATCTTTCAATATGATACGAGCAACTTCAGCTACCTCATCTGATGTTCCACACTGCACGAGGGTTCTCAAGGCCACCACTTTCCCATCTTCCGGTTTCGACATGGATTCGTCATCATCTGTAGTACGGTCAGTCATGGTTGTTTCATTCATCATTTCGTTTTGTCGAGGGAATGCACGTTGTATTCTCCTCGAGCGCACTCGAGATGCCTTGCTCATCGTATCAAGGGCTCTCCAAACTATCCCAACCGTAAGCAAACTTTCCTTGGGGCATCTCTCATCTAAGACAGCTCGCAGGACTGTGGCAAAATTACCGTCGACTATATCAGCGTCCTGCTTCCATCGCTGTGGACGATATTCTTTCTCCTTGTGGTGTTTGAGCCATTGGGCATCATCACCATTTGGTAGAAGATCAAGGGCTTTGACAAACGCATCAGCTAGTTTCGTCTCTTTCATTCCGAGATACGCATGCTCAGAGTCCAACCCTGGGACAAGCAAGCTAAGAATTTTGAAGCTTTCTGCCGGCGGAAGTAGCTGTGCTGGAATGAAGTGATCATTTGCGTTTCGCCTCGCGAGCACGTCTTCACCAACGCCACATTTCTCACCAATCTTCAGCCAAGCGTTCGTGAGAATTGCTTTTTTGCCAAAGCGATCACTCTTTACATGCAGGCCTCCCGTTCGCCTTTTCGCAGGTACTTTTGCCTTACGCAAGTCACGGAACAGCGTCGTTATAACCGAGAAGGGTAGCGCATTTACATTGCATTCATCTCTGGGAGCTTTTGAGTTCTGCGGAGCTTCTGCGTGGAGTGACTCACCCATCGAAGTCACCAGGCTTTGGTTCGATTGACTAAAGTCCACACCTCAAGAACCGACCGAGTCTATTCTTTGCAGATTCAACTTCGTACGAACTGTAAGCCCTTCATTGGTTCTTCACCTTGATCCACGTCGTTTTTAGAGAGATTTTTGATAATCCAGTGTTCTTCAAAGGCGCGTCAGTTCTTCAGCTACAAACGTATGCAAGGATCCTCGATGTGCCATAATCATCCTGTCAAGCTGGCTTGCCAGCCGCATCTATCGCTATATCACTACGTGCACCGACGGCAAGGAACATAGGCAGAGGCCAGGGTGCATAATTGCTCACATCACGACGCACAACTTTATTTGCAAAGGAGATTGAAACTGCGTACCTTGTACGTTCTGCCGTGCAACGAACCCGGACAGACACACTCGTGGGCTTTACTCAGCTTCACGTGAGATGGGAGCAGCTTAAGATTCGGCCTCGCGATTTGCCTTGAGACGAGCTTGAATAGTGCCTCGCAGGGCATGCTTCTGATTCTTCAAAAATTTGAGATCCATCTGTGATTGAAAAATGTAGTGATAGTGGATGGCAACATTAAACGGACGTATGGTTAGTGTGTGCTGGAATTTTGAGAGGCTGATTTCACATGAAGGATGCAACTTCAAAGACGTACGCCTTTGCGGGAAGCAAACTGCTGCTTCTTCGGTCGCTTGATGCCGTTGCGATGATCTGCATTGATGGTTAGGGACAATAGGCGGAAAATCGTTAGCGGGACTGTTCTAATTCATTGCCATAATCATTACGTCGAGGGAGACTCCGTAATGCGGAGATGTCGAGTGCGATCGTTTCGGGTACGCACTCTTGTAGCTCTGATTGTGAGCGGTATGGTTCTTTGACTTCGCCATTGCGGTAGCGCGGTTCTAGAACACAGAAACGGTCAAAAATTCGTAATCACGAAGAGCGTTAGTTCGTATTCTATGCAGAATCCGCCGTAGCGCTTGTTCATGAAGGCTGTGATGGAGTAGCCATGAGCGATTGACCTGCCAGCAGAGGGAAAAGGCCGGGCGACGAAATCATCGCCACCAAATATCCTTGTTCTTCTCGAGCATAAATCGTTGAATCGCAAGAATCGCGTATCTTTACCTTACCGAATCCCTGGGACTGTGTGAGGGAAGATGTCTGCGTAAAATTGGTTGGCAGCGCTTTCTCGATGAACGAATGGGTCAGCGGCCGGTTGAGGCGGACAGTAGGTTCAGTCTTCGTGAAGGCCAACGGCGGCGATTGTGCCAAAAGGATCATACTCAACTGGCAAGTGCATCAATTTGCGATGTCGAATATCAATTGAGGTATTTAATTGTGCACGTGGCACACGCATGAAGCTCAGATGCAGAATTTTCTATTTGGGGGAAGAAAAGGAGTAATAATAGGTCACTTTTACTGCATATTTACGAAGTAACGCAAATTATTTTTCGCGCGAAAATTCCTATAGTTGTCCGACCTCCCATGCAGCGTCCTTCTCAGCCCGAGCGTAACAGCGAGAAAGTCTGGTTGGCTTTAGCTTGGGCACCAGTGCCTGAATTCAACTGTGACGCATTCCAACTACTAGCAAGAGAGGGTGCGAGTCGACTTTCACGGCCGCACAGAACGTGTGCGAGGTGGCCAACGCCAGGATGGACGAACAGCTCCGGGAGGACCGGCGCAAGGCCAAAATTGTGATCAAAGAGTTACGAGATCATCAAAAAGAGTTAGAAGAACAGAAAGATGAAGCTACTAATTGCCGTTCAGACGTCCTCGCCAAGCATTTCAAGAAGGCTGAGGCGAACATGGGCAAGTCGAGCACCATTGACCAGGCGCTTCTCGACGCCCAAATCTTCTGCACACTGAGTAAACACACGAAGAAGCAAGCTGCTCAGCTGCAGACGGGTTTGCAGACATACGATGTCAACTCATTTATGGATAATCTTGTTCAATTTATGCGCCGCTCGGACGGGCTTTCGGAGGGACCTGAAGAGGAGATGCATGACGTGCCCGATGACGAGCTATGTATCAACTTTATTCAACTGGGCGAAAGCGTGAAGCATTGTAAGAAATCAGTTCCGGCTATTGACTTTATGCACGGCAATGCACCAGTGGAGAGTGTTGCAAATGTTACGGAGCGCAAAAAGGCGAAACGAATCTGGAAGGGGAAGGTTACCGTCAAACCCGATGAGTTGAGGTCAGATGAGGTCGAGCAGACGGAAACAGACCGACAAGTAGCGGAAATGAAGAGAGAACTGGCACGACGAAAGGAGTGTAACTACTGGATATTCGTGATCGACCCAGCTAGTTTCTCGAGGTCTATCGAGAACATCTTTCACTCATCGTTTCTAATCAAGGAACGTTTGGCGGCGCTTGACCTCAAGGTCGACCCGCCACTGATCCAGTATATCGATTCAAAGAACCGTAGGCACAGTGGCGGTGGCGAAGGGGGAATGGCGGAGGACCGGCAAAGCCAATTTATTATGGGGTTTGACCGCAACGTGTGGAAGGAGATGATAAACCAGCACAATATTCGAAGATGTCTCCTGCCTTCCAAAAGACGGGCTGACAAGGGGATGGACGCGCAGATGCAACGGTTGACGCAAATGGAAGAGCATTATGAGGGGACTGCGTCTTTCTAAAAGTTGAACGTATTTTGTATACCAAGGTCTATCGATGCCCTCAAGTACTGTAGGTGTGTGACATGCGGGAGATAAGGAGTGAGATATTTTGGGCTCTTGTAAGATACTAACTTGACAGTGTCATCGACCAGCCGTCCGTTTTGCGAAGAATACGACAAGATTATATGACAGAGGCTCACTGGCCCGCGAAGCCGCGAGAAACGCTACATCTGCATCGACAATGGCTATGAACAAACTAGGGGACAAGTGCACTTGGGCGCCATTTGGTTTTCACCAGCCTAGAATTCGACAGCTTCCCGTTTTAAACCAAGGGAAACGAAACTATGTCCATGGGACGTTTATTCACACACACACAAACACCTTGTGAGTGGTCAAAACACGCAACTCTAGCAATTACACACTCGCCAAGCCACAGCTCACACGAACAGGTTAAGCAAACACGACTGGCCGGAAGGTGTGCCGACTACGGTGAGAATCTGAAATGCGTCCCTGCACGCGGCGGGTGTACACCTGGTCCACAGAATCCATATGTTGCCGCAACGCGTCAACATTCTTATAGACCTGGATAGTCTTGAAGAAGCCATGTTTCCCGGGCTTATGCAGGACGCAAAACTCCAAGCAAGTACCCGCAGACACGCTAGCTTCTGCGGTGCTCCTCAAAATGTCGACGACCTCCTCCGCGTTGTGCGGACGCGCCATGTCGACGTTGACCGACTCGACCACGACAATGTTCTCGTTGGGGTCAAACTTGACGTCATGTAACTTTGAAGTAAATAGATTTTCATAGTTCCTCGTACGAATATCCACGGCGTGAATGGAAGGACCGACTCTCTCCACAGCTGAGAGCCACCTCCGCATGATACCGGGGTCCTCCGCGGATGCGGTGGCCTTAAAAGTCTCCATAACGACGTAGCGGGAGTCCTTTGGCGAGAAGGGAGCGGCAGGACCAAGGCCGATGGGATCTTGAACCTCCCGGAGGACCCAGCGGTGGAGGGCCCCCCTCTGCGCGCGGCGCTCGACCTGACGAGTCATGTCTGCTTGAGCGACTGCGGCGCGCTCGAACATGCGGCGGCCTTGGTTGTTGACAACGATCCAGTGGTGCGACTCGAGGACGCTGGCAACGCGGGAGTCGATGACAGGGGCGCGCGTGCGCGGACGTGGGGTGGGAGAGATGTTGTGCGACTGGCGCGGAGCGCGACTAGGTTTGGAGGTGGGAACGGGGCGAGAGGAAGGGTTGGGAGTGGAGGAAGACGTGACGCGGCGGCGCGTTTCCGTGCTACGCGAGGATGGGGTGGTGCGGTACAGCGGAAGAGGTGTGGGGGTTACGAAAGCCATGGTGATGGAGATGGGTTTGGAGAGGATTTTGGTGAAGGGGGTGTGCGTAGAAGAAGGGAGTAGAACAAGGGCGTAGAACAAGGGCGAGCTACAAGCAGGGCAGAGGTGGATGCATGCGGCGTAGGTGGGGGGGAAGGTTATATAGAAATGTGAGAGTGAGTTACAGAGGATATTCGAGTTGGGTAGACAGTGACAAGGAGAAGGAGAAGCAGAAGCAGAAGCGGAAGCAAGGGGGGCGTCGGAGGGTTGCCTGAGTGGGTGCCGCTCAGGACGAGAATGCGCAGGGGGAGCAGGGAGGTTCTACGTCTGTGCGTGACGGGAGGAGATTATTTCGTTGTGTTTGGCGGGTGCGGGTTGGGCGAGATGCAAGTTGTGAGGATCTCTGGGGGAGGCGGTAACGCGAGTGTGACCGGGGAGTAATCTGCGTGAGATCTCGCCGGTCGAATATGCTGGTGTGACATGATTGGGCACGGCGGGTGTGTGGGACGCGCAGCCGATTGGACAGCGGAGGAGCGCGCGGACGTCCCTGTCCAGGAACAGCCAGCCTATTCGTCAGAGCGCAAATGGACGCCCGATATGCATGATTCGTGCATTCTTACTTGCCGTGGAAGCTGCTCATCGAGCTTGGCGAGCCGTGTATCCTTATCACTGGTCCTTCGCGCCTCGTATGCATACTGTACAACTCATTGACACCGCTACGGAATGGAATGCAGCAAGTGTTTCGTTGGCACCAACAAAACACTTACGACTAAGATATTTGTTTCTCTCAGAGTCGCATCCAACTCCCTCGCACCCACTCCCACCCCCACCCCCCGTCCCAATGCATTTACTCGCATACTACAGTACCATGCCTAACCAACTGCGTCAACTGCTTACATGTTTCTCCTCCAACTTCTCATAATAAAACGGCTGTTTCCCTTTCAAACCGAGCGTCTCAAACATTGCCCTATCTTCTGAAAATTCCGGATTGGGCGTCGTCAGCAGCTTATCCCCTGTAAAGATAGAGTTGGCCCCTGCCATAAAGCACAAAGCCTGCTCTGCTTCTGACAATCCCAACCGTCCAGCACTCAACCTCACCATGGATCTCGGCATCACGATGCGTGCTGTCGCAATCATACGACAAAGATCCCAAACGGGCACTGTGTCCGCCTCCTCCAACGGCGTCCCTTCATTCGCTACCAGAGCGTTCACCGGCACGCTTTCCGGGTGCTCCTTCAGCGTCGCCAGCGTGTGGAGGAGCGACACCCGGTCCTCGTGAGACTCGCCTAACCCGATAATTCCGCCGCAGCATACAGATATTCCTGCTTCTCGCACGCTTTCCAAAGTCTTGAGACGGTCTTCGTATACACGTGAAGTGATTACCTTGGGGTAGTATTCTTTCGACGTATCCAAGTTGTGATTGTACGCCGTTAGACCGGCTTCCTTCAATTTCTTCGCCTGCTCAGTGTTCAGCAAACCCAGAGTCGCGCATACTTCCATCCCCATGCCGCGCACCTCGGACACCATTTGGAGCACCCGGTCGAATTGTCGAGGTCCCACCTGGGATACACCTCGCCATGCTGCCCCCATGCAAAAACGGGTGGAGCCACCTTCCTTGGCACGTCGAGCTGATTCCATTACATCGTCGAAGCCCATGAGCTTTTCAGCCTTGACCGCCGTCTTGTAGCTGGAACTCTGAGAGCAGTATTTGCAATCCTCAGGACATCCTCCCGTCTTGATGGACAACAGCGTGCACTGCTGCACTTCACGAGGGTTGAAATAGATTCGATGGGCTGTGGCGCCGTGGTAGACGAGGTCCAGCAGAGGGTGGTTATATAAGCGTCGGATCTCATCTCGTGTCCAGTCATATCTCACAGGGAAGCGGTCACTTTCGAAGTCGGTCGACTGAGTGGAGCGTTCCTGATAACTCGGGGGTCCTTGATTTTCTTCTTCTTCAACGTCTGGGAATGGTACGGGCGACGAAGCCGTCACTCTTTCAGACACCGGTGCGCTTGCCGCAGAGGATAGCCATCTTCGGACGAGCGGTGCACACCTCGCTTGTAACCGACCGACAACTTGCAAAGGCTGCATACCACGATACGAGATGATCTTGACTCTTTCCTTCGAGCTTCTCCCTTCAAGAGTATTCGTGCTCCTTTACCCGCACAATGGAAGAGGCGGCGCTTCCCAGACGATATTGTTTCGCAATGCTCTTCATGGCAATAGAAACATAAGAGCTCAAGAGATCATGTGTTCTTGTCTAATCAATCTAATTGGTCTTGCATCGAGAAACCTTATTACGGTTAATATTCGTTGTTTTGTGTTTTACTTTCCGCCACCAGAAGTGAAGTGAAGGATGAGAGCAATATTATGACATGACCTGCGTTACACACGGACAGTACAGTACACGTGTCGATTAGAGAAGGATCAGCTATTCCCTCCGGCTCGAGAGGCTTCCCACATGTGAAATGGGATTAACGAAGACGCAGTGACCTTCACACCCCATCGGAGCACGAGTCGTAGCTCTCGGAATCCTCTGCGAGCATGGCAGTACCGGTCGGCGATCCAACGGATGCACTCCGCCATCACGAAGACGAAAACCCCATCGTCTTTCTCGATGTCAGCTTCGGACAAAGAGAGATCGGGCGCATAACTCTTGAACTTTTCGCTGATGTCTGTCCGCGTACGGCAGAAAACTTCCGCCAATTCTGCACCGGAGAGTACCGCAAGGACAACAAACCTATTGGATACAAGGGGGCCACATTCCATCGAATCATCAAAGATTTCATGGTTCAGGGTGGTGACTTCTTGAACAAGGATGGCACCGGGTGTACGTCCATCTACGGTGAAGCGCCTTTTGCAGACGAGTCTTTAGGGGCATTGCGACATTCAGGACCTGGCGTCTTGGCTATGGCAAATACAGGGCCCAACACAAACGGAAGTCAGTTTTACATTACTTGCACAAAGTGCGACTTCCTCGATGGAAAGCATGTGGTGTTCGGCAAAGTTATAAACCAAGAGTCCCTCCTGGTTGTAAGAAAGCTTGAGGGTATCCCAGTTGGGCAGAACAATCGCCCGACGGTGGAATGTACTATCACGGAATGCGGAGAAATGTGAAGGACGGGATCTTATGCAACTTAAGCGCCAATCCACGTGTACCGCCAGTATCATCGGGATGAGGAAGAGATATCACTTCGTGCAAGAGAGTACCATGCGGAGCGTGACACGAATGTAGCGCATCGTACGTATCGCATAAGCTTGATGCTTCGGCTTGTTTTTTGCTCCAGTGCTTGTGATTATCCTCCTTTACATGTTAGACATGCTGCGTTCAGACCGTACCAGCTATTTCTGGCGAGTGGAGCGTCTATCTCCGGGGGTTTAACGTTCGTGACCATGGTCATCGTCCTCATCTGTGGCTGCGTACGGGCTACTTTCAATGTCACCGTCGGGTACCCCGCGAGCCGTGAATCTAGTGATGAGTACTCGAAGCCACATCAATGGCGGAAGCTGGGGGCCTCGCAGTTGTTTGAGCGGTGCAAATTCTTGCACTCGGTTGTACGCAAAGGCACAGAAAAGCCATGCGTAGCAGAAGTAGTAGAAAAATGTTCCGTGGAAGGGCTTGTCGAGGATGGCCGGTTGCCACACCCTGACGTAATAGTGGTGACCCACGACGACGACAGCAAGAGTCTCTCCTAGGGCTCCCAAAGTCATTTTGGATGCTAGAACGAGCACTCTGAGGAGTACAAAGTTGACATAAGAAAAGCACGCAATAAGCTGAAAAACGAAAAATGGCGTTGGCGCATTTTGCTTCATGACGTAAAGCGGATCGTCGAACAAGACGCAGAAGCACAGGAGCATGATTGTCCAAAATCCGGCGCAGAATGCATCGCCAAGGAACAACAAGCGCGAAATAGAGAGCTTTCCGCGAACCTTGTTGTAAACTCTATACACAGCGACACAGGCTCCCACGACAAAACCATAAATAAGCAGCGAAACGCCCAACTCCAAAGCGCGTGAGGTTCTCGAAACAGTGCGGCGATACGAGCGAGCTGTCTCGGATATACTAGAAAACGCCGGGACGATGTCAGTCATTGTCTTGTTATAGACATTGCGCGTTACCGAGCCCCATTTGTGCGAGCGCGACTCGAGCACGTCCACGAGGGACGGATCCTGATAGCGGCGCTCAGTGGAGTCCTTCTCTCGATTGAGGTCGGTCAACCTGTTTTCCAGGCGTTCAATCTGGTCCTTGAGCTCGCTCACCTTCGTGGCCATCTTAGAAATGCTCTCTTGCTTCAGCAGGACATCCTCCTTGGCCGCCTCCAGCTCCTTCTCCCTTGTGATCTTCTCCTGCAGCTCCCATTTCTTTGCGCCCTGCAGACGCTCGGCCTCCTCGTCGACGACCTTCTGCTCCGTCTTGAGACGCTCCGTATCCTTGCGCATAGCTTGCAGCTCCATATCGTGCTGATCTACCTGCGACTGGAGCTCACGCTCCAGCTTCGCCAGCTCTGCCGAGCTGAGAGACTGCAGCTTGTCATCGACCGAGCCGGCGTGTGCGGCGTACAGTAGCGCGCAGAGGCAGGCGAGGAAGACGCCGCGGCGGGCGGCCACGGCTGGCAGCATCGTGGGTAATGCGGGCTCTAGCGGCGTTTCGCGATGGCGCGTGAGAGGGGATTTGATGCTGAGCGAGAGTGATGCGGATGTTGAAGGGATGTGGGGGGGGGGGGGGAGGGGGGGAGTTGCTCTCTGGAGCACCGTGAAAGGCACGCTGAGGATGGGGTCAGTTGAAGGGGGCGATGGACGGGAAGGGCGAAGCACAGGGCGCGAGTCAAGAGGTGAGGCTTGGAATAGAGCAAGAGGGCTGAATGTCAGCACAAAATTACATTTGAGGCTTCCTTTGGTCTTTCCGCAGGCCCAATAGTAGATTTTTTTTTTGCCAGAAACTATTAAATTGAGCGTGATTACAGTGGTTTTCTTTGCGTAATTAGATCGCGATTGGATTGGCAACCGGGCGGGTTTGTGGCTCAGACCCGTTTTGGTTGTGATGCGATCCATCTGGAGACACTTCGGCATTCTCTTTTCGTTGATGTCAACGAAAAGAGAATGAAACAAAGCGTCTGGTACGCCTACATCGGCCTGTCAACAGGCCGATGTAGGCGTATCAACAGGCCGATGTAGGAGTACCAGACGTTTTGTTTGCTATCGCTTCTGCGATAGCATTAGGTGACTCAGTACCGCATACCTGCTTCACAAATTTCTTTCAGGCAGTAACCTAATTGAAGTTCAAAGGCGACAGAACCGTTTTTTTTTCAATTGTGATACTGTACTTCAAAGTTTGAAGAAGTATCACAATTGAAAGACTTTCGAGTGCCGGTCCTGTTCCGAGGAGTCGCCAGATTGTGCAGAGAGCCAATCTGCGCTTAAATTAAAGTGGATAAATAAGATGATTTGATTGGTACAAAGTACTCCATTGCCATCCAGTTGCAAGATCTCTCCGCGGTTGCCGATTCGACACTTGGCTTTCCAACGAAATCCTTGTCCACATCTTCCCAATTGCAAAACCGTTTGTATCTCCGTACATGCTAGTTAAATCCTTTACGGCAGTAGGGGCATAAACCAACAAAGTTGTTCATCTTTCTCAGACCACTAGCTCACGGAAAACGATATCTGTCAAAAGCGACTTCTGTCTCCAACAGCCATCAGATTTGAAAAAGCTTATTACAAATCTCCGGATGGCATTTGTTTCACCAGTTCCTTTGCCCACTTTATTGGGAAATGTCAAAACCTCAACATGCCTCCACAAAAGAACAACGCCACTTCGCAACCAGCTGTTTCAAAGATCCTACGTCCGCATCTCTCGTTCTCCTCGCGCAACCGCCACGAATGAGACGGATGCCAAACAAGCGAAGAGCAAAGACCTCGCTCTCACCCCACCGCCTTCCACCTTTTACCAGGCTATCACGCAAGCACAAGGTGCCGTCGACGCTGCCCTCGCCGATGGGCACAAGCTTCTCGAAGTTGAGTTCCCGCCGTTGCCCACCGCCGACCTGGAGAGCGCCGCTGTCGGCGCGTATGACGTGTCGGACGCGAACGTCCGCCTCGCCGTCGACTTTGCGAAGAAGTACGCAAGGGAGGGCACCAGGGTCTCCATCTGCTTTCCGGACTTGGTCGAGAAGGATCGCGCGGTTGAACAGAACAATGAGAGTGAGGAGCCTATTAACGGCATCCGCTTCGGGTCTCTGCGCGACGCGCGCAAGGGCTCCATTCTTGAGCGCATTTGGACAAAGCCGGAGCTGGATATCGCTGTGAGGGAGGACGACGACTTCTTCGTTGTGCTGGGCGCTTCATGTCAAGAGCTGCCCGACGTTGAGAAGCTCGTCGCTTTGGCGGGCGATCGCCCCGTTGTGCTTTTCAACTTAAAGCTGGACACATCGAGAGGGGATCTCGGGCTGCCGGCCTTTCCGCGGAAGGACTTGCATTACCGTTTTTTGAGCAAAGTGCTACCGGTGTACTATTTGCGGACGAGGACATATTCGCGTTCGATGAACAGGGCGCCATATATAGTAAACTATTCTGGCGCATTGTACAAGGTTTATCCGGGGGCTTACCAAGTGCTCCTGGATACAAAAGAGGGCAACTACAAGAGGTTGACAGTGCTAGAAGAGAGACCACCGCTGGGCCGTGTGAGGGATATTTTGACGGATGGGTTGAGTATTGATGGCGTGAAAGGGAAGGATGGTTCTATGTTGTATAAGGGCTACAAGTCGGAGACGTGGTGGGAACGGGACCGAGAAAAGGCTTTGTCAAACAAATGGAGATCGTAATTAAAAGCAGATTCGTGTGGTATCATCATTGCCCTTGTGCGAATTTTGGTAGAGATGCACAAGCTGTGTCACCAAAGGTTATCTACAGTGTGTCATAGCCATTGCTGAGCAGGTATCACAGATGCTCAAGATGCGTAAACAAAATGAGTCCCGTCGGATAGGAGACCCTCCAGAACAATACAAAGCATGACTACGCCAAAAGTTCAAAGTCATCCGAAGGCATCGCACGCTTCGTTTGTCGATGACACAGAGCCAAACCGGCTGTCGCTGATTCATTGGATGCACTGGAATGAAGAGTGCGGGGCCATATCGCTCTACGGTCCTAGCCCACCCGCAGCCAATTTAATTATAACTTTTCATGGACTGACTGTTTCCGCAGTTCATTGCTGCAGACCCACCGCCACGGCCACGGGTGGCCATCAGTCTCCACCGACATAGACGAGCCGCCCACGTGCAGTTCTCCTCTTCTCCCTCCCACCGCACCATCACTCGCTGAAGCGCCTCGTCTCTTCAAAAGCCTTCGCGCGCCCATGTCCGTTGCACTCGATAAATTTGTTAAGAGGCCCACGCGTCCACTGATCTCCTCTACCTCCCAGCAAAGCGAGACACCCCAGCTCCCTCCTGTCTCAAAATTATCGGCGTTTGCTCTTGTTCCCTCAGAGTATCGTCCGTTCCTCATTTTTGACAACGCGAAGGCAGGAAGCTCCGGCCACGATTCTTGGCTTCTGCAAGTGTTCTGCCCTCACACAGCACACGTATCGAGGCCGTTGCGATGAGTTTTGCGAAACTCAAAGCATTTTTGTCCGTCATTGGGGTTTTCCTCCCGCTCGTCGGCGCCGCTTCCGTCGCGTGCTTTTTCGAGGCCCTGAGCTACTTCCTTATCAAACCCATTTCACTGAAGCACCACCGCCATGCATGCACGTTTTTCTCACGTTGCTTTTTTTTGCTCTCTGTCTTCCTTCTGGAAGATTGGGCCGGCATGTCTTTCAAGTCTTATGGCGATCGCATTGATCCACTCAAGTCCCATCTGACCATCGTTAATCACCGCTCAGATGTGGACTGGCTTCTCGGACTGGCGTATGTCGCACGCTTTGGATATCCGTATCCTGGAAATGCGAAGTCTGTTGTCAAGGCTTCGTTGGGCAAAGTACCACTTTTTGGAAACATACTGAAATTTGCTGAGTTTGCATTTTTGACCAGGTCTTGGGGTGCCGACAAGGACAAGTTTTTCAAGGCTTTGGCCTCGATGGGAACCTACTCAGAAACGGGAAATCCTCTTTGGTTTGTTCTCTACCCTGAGGGAACCCGTTTTACAGAGGAAAAGCAACAGTACTCCGAAGCGTACGCTGCCACAAAACAACTTGCGCCGACGACGCACGTCCTGTTCCCGCGATATAAGGCATTCACTGCAATCGTTTCCGCATTGCGTGACAAATTTGATGGTGTCATAGACGCGACGTTCATGTTCGAGGGTGAAGAGCCTGCGATCAAACGGGCACTAGCCGGGAGGGTGTCTACAGTTGTCCATGTACATGTTAAGTTTTATCCAATGAAGGATTTACCGGAGGCAGAGGAGGATCTTGAGAAATGGCTTCTCGAACGATGGTACGAGAAGGACAAGCGTATTGCAGATTTCAACAAAGACATTTCGACTCTGGGAAGACCAAACGAAGAAGAATCGGATACTAAGTTTTCATCAGCTCGTCCTTTTCATGCGCTTGTCGCTGTGTATGGCTTCGCAGCAGCAGCCACGATTTACCTTTTCTCCAATATTCCTAACGGTTTGTACTTTCTGTTTGCATCAAGCTTTGGGGCAGTAGCGTTGACAGGGCTGTTCACGGCAATGAATATCAGACCATCGCGGAAAGGTTCTGGATCCTCTAAGAAAAAGAGGTAAGGAGAGATGCCGGATCCCAACGAGACCATGTGATGACGGCTGGTCCAGAGCTGTGTTGTGACTAAATGCACGTCATCTGCATATTTCTCAAGTCAGCACTGTAGGCTCGGTTCGCCCGGTGATTTCCGGTATCTTGGCGAAACCCATCGCCTTCTTAACGAGATTCCTGAAGACGTCCTTTGGATCTTTCACCGTGAACGACGATGAGGGTTTTTGATATTGCTCAAAGTATACACGAATTGTTGCCCCCGCTGAGCCGGTTCCACTTAAACGGAATACAACGCGTCCTCCGTCTTTTGTCGTCACCCGGATTCCTTGCTGCGAGGCCACTGTACCGTCAATTGGATCTTTGTACTGGAACTCATCAATCTCTGCAATTTCAGGGTGTTTGGGTGCCACCCCATCAACCATTTCTCGTAACCAGTTCATCATATGGTCGCCAGCTTCTTTTGAAACGCCCTCAAAGTCGTAGCGCATATTATACGTTCGACCGTATCGCCGCCAATGACCTACCAGTATATCCTCAACTGTAACGAGGCTCCCAATGGGGCTGTCACGGTTTTCGTACGCTAGAATGCTGAGCCAAGACAGTACTGCCCATAAACCATCCTTTTCACGAATATGCTCTGAGCTTGTGCCAAAGGATTCCTCTCCGCAAATGCTCACCCGATCAGCATCCATTAAATTCGTAAAGTATTTCCATCCAGTCGGGGTCTCATAAACTGGAATACCAAGAGCTTCAGCGACGCGATCTAGAGCGGATGAAGTGGGCATAGACCGCGCCAAGCCTTTCAATTGTTTGCCTCGAAAGTACGGGATGGCTCTCGCGGCGTAGTCCGCTATAATCGCAACCGAATCCCCAGGGCTAACAAATACACCCCTGCCAAGTATCATGTTTCTATCTCCATCACCATCAGACGCAGCCCCGAATTGGGGCGCATCCGGAGTCTGCCTCGGATCCAACATTCTCACTAGCTCAGCGGCGTATGTCAGATTTGGATCAGGGTGACCTCCCCCGAAGTCCTGGAGAGGGATTTCGTTGAGGAGATTACTTAACGGCGCTCCTAGCTTCTCATGTAGTATTACCCTCGCATATTCTCCTGTTGACGCGTGCATGGCATCGAAGACAAGAGAAAAGTCACTCCTAGCGAGCAACTTCTTAATATCATTGAAGTCAAAAATGCTTTCCAGGAGATCGCAGTACTCCGCAACAGGGTCGACAACTTCTACCGTGAACGCTCCGTCAGCAAAACTTGTTGTACCCTCAATACTTAAATTTATATCAATGCCAAGGTCAGCAAGAAAGTATTCATTGATTCCAACAGTTTCTTGATATATCTTATCAGTTAGTCCTTCCGAAGCCGGGGCGCCCGCCCCAGTGTTGTACTTGATACCCCAATCACCGTCAGGGCCAGCTGGGTTGTGGCTCGCGGTTAGAATGATTCCGCCCACAGCTTTCCGCGCGGGAATCATCGCTGACACAGCTGGGGTTGTGAGAATGGCGTTCCGACCAATAACCAAATGTTTCACACCATGCGCTGCCGCCATGCGAATAATAGTTTGCGCGGCGACTGTGTTGTAAAATCGGCCATCGCCACCCACGATAAGAGTAGTTCCTTCTAGAACGTCTCTACCTCCAAGTGCATTAAACAAGGACTGAATCCAGTTGGGAAGAAATTTGGGATTTGATACGAGCACTTTGGCCCTCTTACGCATGCCACTCGTGCCAGTAGTTTGCCCGTCGATCGGGTTGGTTCCGTATTTCAAAATCTTTAAACTGCTCTCTGACGCCATTGCGGGTTGCATCGAACACATTGCTGATATTTCCCACTTTTTCGCAGTCTTTACCGTTGATCTCACAGGTTGGCCTGAGAAAAAGCCACGACAGCTCAACTGAGCAGAGCAGCGTTGAATTTTGTTATGTCTCTTTAACGTGGGATGTACACTTGCCACGAACAGCAAGCGCCCCCTAGCCATGCTTCTAAAGCGCTCACCGTCCAAGTGCCACACGCTCCCAAAACTTAGTCGTGCCCAAAAAAAAATCCTCGACGTGCAATGCAAATTGCTACAAACCCTTGAGAGACCTACTGCACGAGGGAAAAGATCAATTGTCATGGAGAACGGAGATCACTTGACAGAAAATTAAGCAATAATTAGTAATAATTCGTTCCAAATTTAGAATGAGAGTCTGCACTGTGGACCCACAGCTGTGTACTGTACTGTAGCAATAAATTGCACTTCGAGCGCCCACATGTACGGTGGGTCTCTGTCCGGCTCAGATAGCAAAGCAATTCTTGCCAAGCAATGCGCGAAGCCAGGCTATGCAGCATCTGTTTTCATTTCGTTTGTTCGTTTTCATGGGTCTGAAATTAACGAATGTAGTTCAGAGCGGAATTCGTTGAATAAAGATGATACATGTACCATATGCCCGCCCTTTTAAACCACCGCAAATGCGCGTCTGAGGCTTCCTAACCTCTAAGCCCCAACAAGGCCCCCTACACTAAATGCTCGTGCTCCGTCTTCTCTTTCTCCTTCAGTCGTAACCAATTCTTTGAATCCTGACTGCTTGCTTGTGGGACCCCACACTCAAGACGGGGATCCTGTCGGGCCAGATTATTCCAGATGTGTTCATGGCACGTAGGGATACGCAGATCCTATTTTGGATTGCCAGCCGAACGCTCCCAGCGATCAACTTCTCCAGATATGCCTATACTGCATAAACAACGGTCCGTGGACGAATAGTCTTCAGAAGGGCTACAGCTGCAGACTTTTTGCTTATCATCGTCAACTGGTGTATTTGCCCCTAAACTTTCAACGACGTAGTGAGCTTAGATATTCAACCAAGATCACCGCGCTCGACATGACTACTGCCCGTATTCTGTTTCTTTAGTTCCAAGAGAGTTCGTTTGTATGTATCCTTGAAGTCCTCAACATGTTCCGCAGGGATTTGCCTTAAAGTTGTCTCATTGACTGGTTCCTGTACATCTGCAATGAGAGGGACTCCTACAACGCGGCTTGATGCGGTGGTCCCAAGTGCTGAAGAACCAAAAAAGTGAGGTGGGAGCATGTGGGAAGACCCAGGCCGAACATGCGGGGGCGCCGGCAGTACGTGTGGAGGCGCTGCCATCACAGCTTGCGATGGTTGAACGACATGTGATGCGGTTGGTACTCCCTGATGAGGTGCCATAAGCTGCGGATACATTTGTGCGTAAAACATGGATGGCACTAGTCCTGACTTTCCCATGGCCAGCATGAGAGAACGAAGTTGGTTAAAATCCGGCATTCCAGACCTTTCAGCCGGTAAACTGGCCATGTCGTGAGATTGGTGTGTACTTGAACCTCGTATGTCCCCCTGCCGCACTACTTCACCAACATTAACTGGGAGTCGCGAAGTGATCGGTTCAGGGCTTTGTTGAGCAGGAGCAATTGAGCCCAAAGCTTGAAGCTCATCCCGAATGTCTCCCCTGATCTTCTTGACTTTAGTTGCAGAAGAAGGTGCCGAAAATCTTTCAAAAGGTGCATGGATACTTTCTGCCGCAATCAAGTCCACTTGACTATATTCTGGATGTGGGTCTCTTGCGGGCTTGGTAGTGGTGGGTGCTGGGGTGTCTGAGGCAGTCCTCTGGCCTGTAGTGCCGTTAAGCATATGTGGCTGCGTCCCTGGCACGGGCATGTTGTCATTAGTCGTAGGAAATCCAGCCAGAGAGGTGAATGCGTCATCGGGTGGTAGAGGGTGCATCAAAATATCCGACTGCTCACTTGGTTTGATTATACCTTCAGGTTTCGGCACCGGCAGAAAGACAGCACCGTCAGAACCCGGTAGTAAGATCTTGTGATCAAAGCAAAGGCGATGTCCTTCTTTTGGCACGACAGCAAAGACTAGACGTGGCTCATGTTGATTTTCGAGAACCTTCCGGAGCGGTCGGCGCGCCTGCACTTTTCTGCGCTCCTCGCTGTCCGTGCCCTCATCGTCGTCATCTATGACTGGAGTCAAGGACATGTGATCAGAACACAAGGACCGTCGTCGCACTATCTTTTTTGGCCTAACGAGTGGTATAAAAAGATGGCTCTCGTTGTCTTCGAAGTCCTCATCTGATTCATGCATTTCAGATGAGTACTTTTCTTCAGCATCATTTGTTTCTGCAGAAGATAGACGAGAATCTCGCCTTCTCAAGCCTTGTGTCCTGCGGTCTACGAGAACAGCTTGGTCGTCCATGCCCTCATCAAATCGAGCATCAACCGTTCGCCGGGTTTGGTAACGAGTGCTATATGACCCGACTTCTTCGTCACTGGCACCGAGCAATCCGTTCGAAGTAAGGTCTATAGATGCCCTCCTTCTCGTGTTCACTGAGGCATGTGGCGAAGACTGCAGGGCGATTCCCCGGCTCGGTCGCTTCAGTTGCTTCCGTGAGGACACATGGCGGTCTTCATGAAGGCCATACGCATCTTGTGATCTAGGCCTCTTTCTGGGGTCCTCTTTATACCTTGCGGTTGATATTGAGCCCCGCAGTTCTGCTACGACATGAGCAATGAATCGATTCTTTAACTCGTGGGAAAGCTCACGAAACTTAGCACGTGATGCGTGGTCTGCCGTGGAATGGCGTGATGCCCTACAAACGTCAGTAATGGCATCCTCCAAATACAAGCTGAATCCAGCAGCAGATCGTGAGATAGAAGTAGCGCGGGGAATACCGCCCCTTCCAGCCCGTGGGGCAGATCTTCGTCGGGGTATTGAACGACGTGAAGACGGAAACGGAATACGACGAAAAGTTTCCGGGTCGCAACCGGCCGGGTGGCGCTCCATCCTTCTTGCAGAGACGGCTGGCTTAAGATTCGATAGCTTAGCACAGGAAAAGCAGTTGCGACACCTCAGTGTTACCAAAATCCATGGCGCCTCGGGCTTGAATGGTCACACCACTTGCGAAAAGCGAGCTAAATTTTTTGAGATAATTTAAGTGGCTTGGCTCACACACCAACGGGTGGCAACCCTACATGGATCACAATGATTTGTTCTCCAAAATAAACCAATCCATACCAGGAACAACTCTTGCCCTGCCTGTTCTGTGCATCTTGGGGCATTGTTTAGCCTGCAACCACAAAAAGGATGATCTGAATAGGCTCAAATAACGGCAGCACGGCCCAGAAACACGGAAAATCCGCTTGTGCAGCATGTAGCCAATCAATCGCCATAGCTTTGCCGCTCTCCACGTCTGCTGTCGTACAGTCTTTTGCGAGCTGAACATCGAGTTGCCAAGGAGGCTGCTTCCACACCGAAGTGAGAGTATGTTCTTCAACGCACCCCACAACAATCGAAAGTGTCTTGCGCCCGTGCTGCTACCGGCCCTTCTACCACGATTCACATTCAGACAACTTCCGTAAAAAGCCACGAAACAGCGATACCGACTCCGCATCAATCGCATATACTGGGGACAAACGCGTTGGCAAAACTTCTTAACGTAACAGCGTCATCGCCATTCGTCCCAACGCGCACGCAAATCTTTTCGAGGCTCTCAGATGAAAGCCAATTCAGAATTCCGCTTCCTCCCTTATCTTCATTCAGTACTCTAATAGTCGCCTCAACAGGATCAGCAATCGTCGTTCTCTGGCAGATAACGCGGAAAAGACCCCAAGAAGCCTCAAACTCTGCCCATGTATTTCTGTCATGCTTAGTGCGGTCTGCATGAATCTTGCAGTACGCTGCCAGCTTTTCATCAACAGTGAGCGAAAACTTATCTTCAACGACACACTTGGATCCGCTAGATGCCGTCCACGACCCGATGACATTCGCGAAGGACGCAGCGCGTGCTTGCGACAAATCACCAAAGTGGTCCACAACAGCCCTTTCTACAAACACAGAAGGCCTCCCTTCATCCGCCAAAATGTTCACAATCCCAAACGGGTTTCCATGGAGACACTCAACCACATGGTTTGTATACTCTTCATCCCCGAGTAGTGATCGCAACTCTGCAATAGAGGCTCGGAGACATCTTTTCGCTGAGAGAAATGATTCCACAAGCTTCACGGCTATGCGTCGGTCCCGAACTTTCATCTGCGACTCTAAACAATCGATTTGTGTCTCTCTTACTGCTTCAGATAGTCTCACTCTGTCTTGTTCACTAATGAGCTTCCCAAGACAAACAAACCGGTTTCCCTTCTCTGCTAGTTGAGACAGTGAGGAGAAAGAACAAAGTAGCAATTTTTCCACGACGAGATGCAAAGAAATACCAGCTTTTTCCAGCACTTCACGCCGGAATTCCAGTCGCAGCTTTCCCTGTGAATGCAGAGAGTCATGTAGGTAGTCAGCACTGGCTTGCAGCTTCAGCGATTCAGCTCGATACAAAGCTATGAGAAACGCGAGTCGTGACGGGCAATCGAAGTTTGAGCTTTCAGATACCTGTTCCACCTTGGCTTCTGAGTCTCTTTTGTCGGGTAAGACGGTACATATCTCTTTGAGTTTCGCGAAACTTGGCACTTGCCGCAACCTTCCTGCGAAGCCTTCGACCTTTCTCGATATCCGATTTATCTCTTCATCCGGTACGCCTTCCGAATCTGGCAATTCCCGAATCGCACTGAACCAACTGTTCGTTTTCTGTCTCGCCGCCTCTTCGTCATTGTAATTGTCATCTTCATGCACGGAGAGTACTTCCGAGTCATCAATATACACCCCATCTTCCTTCATTTGAGCGATCGTCTCTGTACCATTGAGAACGTCAAAAGCTCGCTGTTTGCGATGCAAATATCTCCACCCAGCAGAGGCAAGAGTCTCCCTGGCGTCTCGAATGCTTTCTCCTCGCATGGGATGGCCTTTCCGCCGCCGAGGGCCAGACAATCTTGACTCCTTGCTTCCTGCAAGACTGCGCGTAATGCGATGTTGGTCGCGATGTCCAGCGAGAATCTGTCGAAAGCGAAAGCGCTTAATTTCAAATGGCTTGCGTTCAGCCAGCCGGGCGATGACGGCAAGCGCGTGGACACGACGTAGTTCGCGTGAGTCTATGACCATGTCGTGTGCAACCTTCTCCACGTAGGCCGCGCATGGTAGGCGATTTCGGTAGACGCTGTCTAAAGTGTGTAGAGCAGTAATGTAGCGATGTGCAAGGCGTGTTTCTACTGGGATAGCACGCAAGGACGACATCTCCACTCGAGGGTGTACATTGCTTAACGGATGCTCGTTTCCCACATTGGGCTCACTCCGAGGCCATTTGGTTCCGCGCACTCTCTTCGTCTGGAATGGTGATGCACTTTGTCGAGAGAAAGTGCGACGATCGCTTCCACCTCCCTCGTCGGATGGGACACTCGCGCAGTCGGGAGAGCGAGGGCGTTTTCGACTCACTTGAAGATTTCTCAGGTGTTCAGCCGTTTGCGATTCACGTCGATTTGGGGCGGAGAAGTCCCCAGGGACTGAAGTGATCAACTCAGGCGGTGGGCCACGTTCACTTTGCCGTGTCGGAGATCCGAAGTCTCGATCACTGCCAGTCGCAATGTGGGTATGGGGCGTGCGATGTGGGCCAGCACTCAGGTCGCCGAGTTGTTGTGCTGGCGAAGGTCGACGTGTCTCGTCAGATTCGGGGGTAGACAGGGGAGGCGGAATCTGGGCAGCAAGTGGCGGCGGCGAGCTATTGCTTGAGGGCAGCGGAGAGTTGCGGTTGTCATCGGAAGGTACAGAAGTGTACGCAGGGGTTCGGGAAGGAGAGGGAGGGACTGTCGATGCAGATGATAAACTGGCAGATGGCCGCGAGGTCATGGTGGCTGCGGTGTACCCATTAAAAGACTCTGAGGATAAAAGGCAAATGCAGCGGCGGCCTTCATACAGCACGGGAGCGACACAACAAATGGCGATACGTGTGATAGCATGGGTCTAACAACGGTGAGCGCGAGATGGTCGAGAGATTGCCTTGATGTTTGTACACGTGTATGACAAGAGGAAGGGACACTGCTGGTATGCGCCGTGTTGCGAACCGGCAAGAGCTTCCAACCAATAAATATTCGACATTTGGAGGGCCATGCACTTGATCCGCACGGCACTTCTCAGACCAGTGCCCTCCCGATAAGTGGCTCTGTGAGCCCAATGCTGCTTTTGTCACGACATGTGAGAGCTGCGTATTGCCAAACCTCGGACCTCAGTGAGCATCAAACGCAACTTTCTGCTTCTCATGCATATACCGAGCATCACCGGAGAGAAGCACTTCTTCTTCGCCGGCCTCAGACCAAGTCACAACTTCTGTCCAACATGATATCATTCATTACATGCGCCCCGCTCACCTCTCGACCTGCATTCTTGGGCACATCAACCTCGCCATCGACACCCCCCACCCACTCTCCCTCTCGCCTCTCTCGTGTCATTCAAGTGACCGCTACAGCCACGCAGCCCTCCAAAACAGATGTCTTATCCGAACCTAGAGCGCCCGAATCGGACCTGCCACCGGCGCAACCCACACAGCCCCCGTCGTTACCCGCCGGGTTGGGGAATGCCGTTCCCTATTTTGCCTACTTTTCCAATATGAATCCCAACAAAATTGGTCCCATGTCACGCCTTCGGCTTCGACGATTCCCAATCCTTCACTCCGCCGTCGCTGTCCTCGACAACCATCGTCTTGTCTTCAACCTTCCTGGGCTACCGCCTGAGCCCGCCAACGCTAATATAGAGCGCAGCAGAGGCTCACAAGTACATGGCATCGTTCATTGGGTTAATCGAGATGAGTTTCAAAGACTTTCCTTGTCAGAGGGGGTCCCCCCAGAAGACAGCCCGCTGAATGCGCTCCCAGATCTTCTCAAAGTCGGTTGCACAGAGCAAATCACGGTTTCAGTTCGCACAGGACCAAGCGAGGAAGATCGTATCGACGTGCGAGCGAAGACCTTCGTCTTCTATGGAAAGAGGACACCGGCATTCATTCGTAACGCCATCAGACCGAGTAGACGATACGTCCAGGTCGCTATTGATGGCGCGGAGTTTTGGGGAATAGATCAGAGTTACGTTACCGATGTCCTGAAAAAGTTGGAAACAGCGGCCGGGTTTGCAGGCGGATTCGGACTCCATGTTGAACAGCGACCCCACATCTTGGATAGACCGAATCCAAACGTCAATTTTGGAAAGGTTTCTACTGAAATATACAGCCCGTGGCAGCCTATTCGTGCAAAGAGAGCAATGAAGGTGTTTGAAGAAAATGAAGAAAGCAGGGATGACAGCAAATTGTCATTACTGTTTCTGTCTGACGCTTCGAAGGACCTAGCAACAGAGCGCAGGAAAATGTATTACATCCCCGGTATTGATGGCTCTGGGAAGAGCATTTTGTCACAGGTCGCAAACATTGACGAAGATGGGGAGTGGGTATTATCCAGTGTGAAGTACCCTTTTGGGAATAGGCAGTCGCCCGAAGAACTGGCAAGCTCCATTCTGGAACTGATATATGATGATGCCAAAGGGGGCCCGGTATCAATTATTGGTGAAAGTATGGGCGGGGCATTGACCGTCATGGTATCACGCGAGAACATACGCAGAAAGCGAAGTCAAGAGCAGAAAACACTGAACATTGACCTTGCTCTGATGATCAACCCTGCGACATGTTACAAGCGGTCTGCAGCAAGACCATTGTGGGAATTTTTGTTGTCTATTGGTTTTACTCACGAGCACTATACCGTTCTAATGCCCTTCATCCTTCTTCCTTTCATTCTTGATCCCGACTCTGTGACGCAAGATATCGGCCCAGATCTGGTCCCTAGATTGCGCAAAATGTTGGCTGCCCTATCAAAAATGGCGGACATTTTGCCCCAAGACGCGTTGTCGCACCGAATGGGAATCCTCTCAAACTGTTCTATGTCCGGTCAGGAGCTTTCAGAGCTGACTCATGAGTTTGGACCTAACGAAATTGGCGTAATCAGCACAGTCAACGATAACTTGATACCCAGTCTCTCTGAAAATTACCGCCTTCAGCGTTATATACCAAACATTTACTCTGCAGTTTTGCCGTATGGTGGACACTCGCCGATGTTCGACAAGCGCTTTGTTCTGCCGGATTTGTTAAGACCATTTAAAAATGGCTTCCGAAAGACTACGGAGTCTACCTCGCAAGAAACTGTTTCTCCAAATCTTGAGAAGCGGAGGGACGCACTGAGGAAGAAACTAGCAAAAAACTCAACTGATACGAATCCGACAGCAGATAAGTCTCTGGCTGAAATGAGCAGGCTGAAATCCCTTCTCGGACGTTGGAACACAGAATGCTCACCTGTCTTCGTCGGCGAAGAGAATCTTCCCGATCAGACTGACGGGAAACCTGTTCTGTTCATTTCAAACCACACGCTGTTGGGTTGGTTGGATGGAATGTATCCTAGCATGCGAATATTGTCCTCAAAGAAAACTCTTCTCCGTCCACTTGCACACCCTCGCCTGTTCGGCTCTGAGACCGTTCTTCTTCCGGGAACCACAACAGTCAGTTTAGACGAGGTTTCAGATTCGGGGGTAGTAATTGTGAGCCCTTCTGCCCTTCTCGAACAGTTGAGCAAGGGAAATTGGTGCATGCTGTTCCCCGGGGGTGCAAGAGAAGCATTGAAAGGTCAAAGCGATGAAAAGTACTCTCTTCATTGGCCAGACTCACCCGAATTTGTTCGTCCTTGTGCGCTGTTCGGAGCGACAATTATTCCTGTTTCCACAGTCGGAGCTGAAGACATGGTCAAACTTCTGGTGGATACCGAGGCCATGGGCAATTTCATAAGAACCGCAAACGATGCTCTGGGACGACCTGTCGATGTTGAAAGTGTCTTCGGAGACAACTCTCAAGCATGGAAAACCCAATCTACTTCACGACGACCCTTAATGGTGCCTCCTCTTGCTGTACCAACTCGTCCAGATCGACTGTACTACAGATTTGGAAAACCAATTGAAGTTCCAGCGGAGTGCCTCAACGACTCGACCCTGAGTATGAGTATTTACAAAAAGGTTAAAGAAGACGTTGCGGATGGTGTTCAAATCCTATTGCGAAGGAGGGAAGCGGACGCATACAGATCGCTTGAGAAGAGGAAAAGGTTTTGGCAAAGTTCTGATACAAGCATCGATCCACCTGCTAGCCCGGCGTGGCTCTGGACAAAAGGTTTAGGTGCATATCTGGATGAAGACTTGCAACCTCCATTGTGAGGGAAGCCAAACTGCTCATGTACCGTAGCTCAGTGAAACTGTTTCCGTGTCGTAGTAACTTTTGGCCAGTCTCTTAAAATTGTGAAATGCTCGCACGGCTGGTAAAATGTCTGCAGATATGAAGTCCAGCAAATTTCCCACCCACTACAGTCGTTTAGAACAGCGCGTGATAGCAAGTTTCATGAGATCGAGGAAAGTGAGTGTATTAACATTTATATTTCACAAGACGATCGTATACTGAGGAAGAACGAAAACGGAATACTGGTTAAACATACACGTTCCGTCTCTTAACATTCTGCTCACCTACAGGAAGAACTGAACAACGATTAGTTACTGCTGCCCAGAACCCCTGACTGTTGTCTGGTCTTCGCCTACTGATTTCTTCTCTACCGCCTTCGCTTTGAAGAATCTACCCCTAAATCTTGGGCGGGTGTCGGCGAGACGCTTCCTCACTTGGTACCGAATAACAGAAGACTGCTTCTTCCTGCGCATCTTCTTGGCTTTAAACCTTAGCACAGCTGCCTTTCGCTGCTCCGGAGTGTAGCGAGTGATGGGAGAGGCCTGTGGCCTTGCGATGATATGCGGATGTTGTCCTTGAATGTGAATTGCAGAAAAGGGCGGCATGGCTGGATGAACTTGAAAAGTATGCGTCGGAATACTGTGCGCATAGTAGTGGGAACCGGCGAAGTGTGGGTGGGTGGGTACCAGTAGTTGCTCTCGCCACGGGCGACGAGGAGGGGATGACTGAGAGGGTTGGTATGGCGGAGTAGGGTACTCTGCGTCGATTCGCGTGGGAGAGTGTGGACTCTCGACGTTCTTGAAAGTAACTTTACCCTGATTGCTTGAGGGGTGTGGGTTGCGATGGCTTGTACTCATGCTGATGAGAGCAGAAACCAATTCAAGGTCCTGCGCAGTGTTCGTGAGGGAGGAGGACGTCATTGCGATTGCTTGAGAATGAGGGCAGGAAGTTCAGGGAAGGGAGGGGTCGGTTGTGATGGGAGGAGATTTACTGCCGCGTATGGGCGGCAATATGTAGAAGAAAACCTACCGGATCTGTACGGTGGCGGGACAGATGAAAAGCGGGCGGAATGCAGTGACGGGAGGCGGAAGACCAGAGGCTGAAAAGAAGATTTGGGGCTGTGCGCTGCGGGTAGCCAAGGAAGATGGAATTGGAGCGTTGATGGCGAGCTTCTAATGGTTTTTGGGAAGGAGAATTATATGTTCTGTGGTTGGAACTGCCGAAGGATTACCACGGCAACCACACAGGAAGATTCTTTACATAGAGGCGCCCCTATCTGTTCGCCGCAGATATTTGTGCTGTAAAAGCTGAGGACCAATGAAAAGGATCAGAGGCGGGGGACATATCGGTGAGCGGGCGTTGCGGTGTCTGTTCGAAAAATATCATCCAAAAAATTATCCCAAATTCTGCTTCGGAGAGCCACAGCTAGATACATCCTGCACATGGGTATCTTCCGTTGTGCCCAGGACTACCACTCAGTGACGTCACCCTTCACCCCACATGACATGAATCGGGATTCCTTGCGTCAAGGCTCTTGAACGCCACTTATTTCGGAAACTAGAAGGTGGCCCCTCCATCTGGCCCAATCTCGAGTTATCAGGATGGTACCGTCGGTCCTCAGGTTTTAGTCAAGATTGCACTGTCGACGTGTAGGATGGACACGGCCCCATGCTGACCAACGGGCTCATCACCAGCATGAGTCGTTGGCCACTACCAGCCCCGTCGCGGATACGTGCAGCCTCTTTCCTTGTCATTTCCAACTCCTGCACCCTGAAGACACTACTCTTTTCAAGACGTAAACTGAGTGCAGTGGTGCGTCGTCGGTTAGCAATTTCAAAGAAGTCCCGCCAAACCAAAGAGCAAATGCACGGGCGGGATCGTATAGAGCTCTACCGCAGGGTAGCCCTGCTACTCAAATTTCTATTCTGTAAACCGGGTGGCTTTATACGGGACTGGACGTATGTAACGTAGATCTAGCAGGCACAAAGAAGACCTGGTATTGATTTTCTCATGACTCAAGCTTGCCATAGAGCAGTAGTCCTCACTCGCTTTGATCGTGACGGAGCTGTCCAACACGCCAACTCCAGCGACTTTGGATGTGGCTTGAAGTATTTCGTCAGCATATGCATAAAACCCTGTCCGTACAACGATCAGGGATGTACGGTAGTTACCCTTCAGGATCAAAGAACGATTTTAGTCTGTGGTTCTGGTGTGCTTGGTTTCTAGACAGCACACACCAAAATTTCGAGTTTCCGCCTCCCGAATCCCCAGAGCTGCAGTAGGGGTAAAGTTTATGACAAATGCTGTTTTTGCTGCACGAAGGGCATTTATCGAACGCTTCGTGGCCTTGCTCCGATACGCTGAGTCAGCGTGCCTTTGAGCGAATGAGTCCAGACTGCTGCGCTCATACTTACCACAGAAATATACAACTTCGGCGCAAGAGGTTAGTCTCGCGGACAACAGGAGAAACGTATTTACACCCTTGAGTGGCTTCCGCAAAGCTCAAGCCATAGAACTATGCTTCATGATATCCACATCTATTGCAACTGGGAGAATTTTTCTACCAATGTAACTGCCGGAATGAACATACACTATACGCGCCTGGTTCCATTTTTTACGCTCCACGTTTAAACATGACTTTCTGGAAGAGCAGCGAAGAGTGCCCTCAGTCTCCATCAGGTTGCTTTCGGGCAGCACACATAAACTGAGTTCTCGACTGTCATATAAGTCTGCCTTCAATCAGATTCACTTTCATGACCAAGAATATCATCTGTTCTCGCCCCTGGATCCGTACCAGGGGGTTCAATGTTGTACTTTAGATAAGATTAAAACAAGGGCATGGAACTGCCCTGCACAGCAAATGAGTCCTAAATGAAACAACGCGGATATGCGAATCATAAGTGGACCCTTTTTTGCTCTGGGCAGCTCTGGCGAAATCCACGAGCCCATTATCCGACAAGCGCAAGGCTCCTTGCACCACTGCCCCCGTCTGCGTCGATGCCAGAACATGGCGAACAATTTGAGAAAAACTACAATTGCCGTGAGAACGTGCCAAAGAATTAAAGTTGGTTGACTCAAAACTGAAGCAATCTCGTTCGGTGACGAAAAAGACCTAAGCTGTGCTTACATTCACGGGCAAAGTCTGATTGGGATCGTCGACTTTCTGCCAAGCCATCAAACCAACCCTAGTCGAAAAGTAGTTGGAATATCACATACCAAGCGTGCAAAAGCGCTCCTCTATAGGCATTGGCTATAGACATGAGCAAGATTATTTCCAATTGCTCTCGTCGCAATGACAGATTTCAGAGAGCTAGGACACAGAGCTCGTCACATTTTTACGCCAGTATCAACGTTCCGACTTAGAGTATTTCGGCGGGTTGTGGCGCAAAAAGTTCTTGAACGAGCACATTTCATCGTCATGAGAGAAATGCGAGGCTCCAAGAATATTTGCTGTAGCAACAGCAGACTCTAAATTGTCTTGGACATCGGACAACGCAATGTGAATTCGATCGAGCCGCTCGAGCGCCATTGTAGTTCGTTTTGCGGCCACCCCATGCTTTTCCATAGCAGCGTTGAGTCTGACAGACTTTTCTTTTGCAGCCATAATCTGTTGCAAGAGCAGAGCCTGTCGATTCAACACGCTGGCCATCTTCGGTCCTCCTGTACATTGCTCTAGCACGGCACTGACTGTTGCTTCATCAATGCCCAAGCGTGCCCAGCGATTTTGTTCTGCTCGCGAATCTTCCGATAATTCCCTCGTCAGGTCATCGATCGAGGTCCGTTCTGGCAAAACATTGTTGCCGGCGTGCCCTTCTTCTTTTCTTCCATCTCCATCCACGTTAGAGCCGTCGGACTGCCCGGGGGTGCCTGCTGTCCCATGGCCATCAGTAGAACCTGAGGCCTCAGTTCCCTCAAGAGTTGTGGACTGCACGCGTGAATTCGGAGTTTCCTCGACTCCCATCAACAGACTATGGAAAACGCGATTCAATTCATGCATGACAAGCGTGCCCTGCAGCGCTGAGGGCATTTCATCCTTGACACGGGGAGGGGGTAAGATTTGCTGTGGTAAATTCAAGGAGCTTGACTTTGCCACAACTTGATCCAGTTTTGTGGTAGGTTGTGATGAAGTGGCCGATTGGCCCGTGCCTTCAACTCGGTGCACGCCGGCATCTTTGCTCGAGGCGGGCACGTTGCCCCCGCCAATGCTTTGTTCTTGTCCCATTCATCCGTTTTTCCTGGATGACTGGATACCGTTCACCTCGCAGAATGACCTTTGTTTCAGTTCAAATAGAGTCTCAATATGTTATTCGCTCTCCAGATGCGTGGGAGAGATCAATACTACCGTATATGAGACTCCCCCACATGAGATGATACTGATCAGGAGACCGAAGGAGCCACTTTTGGCTTGTGGAAGAAACACGTGTACAAAAGTAACGGAGGGCACGGAATAAGCATCGAGAAGAGGCTTATAAATTTCGGATATCATTTCACACCGCAATTCGAAATCTTCGGGGATGTAGGTGTGTGTAGAAGCGTTTCTACGGTACAACATTGGTTACCGACATCATGTCATGTTCTTTATCGACCGTGCCTTGCTTCTGCAGTTTGGGGTTTATGCCTTGCCGGCAAACATCGGAAGAGACGGCGAAGAAAGAATACTGCACCCCCCCTACGATTCTTGCCGGGGCAACAACAGACCGAATGGGCTTTGTCAATACTTATCAGACAGCAAATGTTTCACGCTCCCATCACGGACTTCTTTCTCTGCCTGTGGGGCAATTGCATGCGGAATGAAGAGACTTGTTCGCTCTAAAGGGCTTTCATTGTCTAATAATAAATGCTCAGTTTCTTTAATTTTACACACCAACAGTCAATACCGTAACGAAAAAACGGCTTGAACCGCGAAGTGATATGCATTGTTGAGTTGCATTACGAGTTAGAACACCACCTGTGAGTCGGCGATGCCATTCGAAAACGGATTACATTGTCTTCCTCAGTTGCTCTCTTCTACTCAGCAACTGCACAAGCATTTCGACGGATTGCAACCAGGGTCATGGAATGGCTCGCGTTCGTATATCTGTCGCGAAGATTGCGTGTCTCCCGACCAACCCAAAATCTTCGGAAGGGATTTCCGGCGAGAAAAAGTTAAGCTTTGATCATGCATGTGTTGGAACATGCTCCTCAGACTCGCAACCTCCTCTTCTAGCTTCCGTATGCGCTCTTCGTATCGCTCGGCTCTCCAATCGAACTCATGGTTGAAGGTATCCTTCCGGAGAATGGCTCGTGCCCGCTTGTGCACGCGCTTTAAATAGGCTGAGCCGCTACGTTGCACGTCACGAGCTATCGACTGCACTGCATCCTGAGGTGCTTCAAGCTTGTCTGATACCATCTTCTTTGACAATGCTCCGATGATAATTGCAAGTGCATGTGAAAACTCCTCAAATGTGTGAATTCCGGGTGCATGACCAGTTTGATGCGGACTTATATGCTGTAGCGACAATGGCTGGCCCATGTCGAAATACTCGCCGAGGTCCAACTCAGATGCCATCACTGCTCGTCGCAATGCACGTGAAGGCAACTCTCCGTCCACAGCTATGTTTTCCACCAGTATCCCTTTCACTTCCTCATCAGATTGTGAGCGCGCGTCTGAAATCCTCGGCGTACTTGGTTCCGCGTTACCAGGTTGAATTCCATTGTCAGATTTAAGAGCTTCGTCCGTGGGTCTCATTTTCTGGACTCCATCCTTTGAGGAGGAAAGCGGTGTCATAGACCTCTTCACTCGCGTGTGCGTTTTCCTGAGATCAGTGGCATAGAGGTACACAATGGTCCTGTACAGCTCAAAGAACACATCCACAGGATTAGTCCCGGGAACGTTAATCATTGCGGATATACACATATGGAGTTCTTGGGTGGTGATGTTTTCGTCCTCAGTTTCAAGCCCTCCTCCGTTTTCTGCTAAACTCGAAGGTTCGCTACCCTGGCTTTCTTCCATACTCAAACCATGTCCAGAACCGCTGCTGTTCAAAGTCGATACGGACGGGTAAGCCTCGTCGCCAAGAACGTTGTCGTCGGCAGACCGGCTTGTATATCTCTCCTTCCTGTACCCTTGCAAGACAGCAATCAGCGAGGCTCTCCGCGTAGCCTGCGCGAGAAAAAGGATCGATGAAGAGTAGGAAGGTGTTCCAGTCCATGTTGCCGGGCTGGCCGGCAAAACGCGAATGAGGGCCTGCCATGACCGCAAAGAGTCCAAAGTGCCTTCATCGGACAACCGCGGAGCCGACGAGCGTGCGGCGTTCTGAGCCAAGAGACGACCTGTGGCGCTAACAGAACGAATGCATGTTTCGATGACCAGTCGAAGGGTCACCGGTTCCGGCATGATCATCTCTAAGGCTTCTTCCGCTGTTGGCGGGATAGCAGCGACCAGCACAGTTAATGCGTCGACGGCAGTGACAATCTTGCTCACCTCCCACAAGCATCCATCTTCTCTTCGTTGCAGTGCCTCAGAGGCATGCAGGAAGGCGCTATTGATAGTGCCTGTGAGTAAAGCCAACCTTTGTGCGCATACCACAGGGACATGAAGCAGGACCACTTTGAGTAGGGAGTTACAGGATACTGCGGCAAGACCCGTGCAATCCATGTTGGGAAGACATATCGCACTTTGTGGGAACTCTGCAAGCCTCCGCCTTGTGAATGGAGCCCCTGTTCCGAATTCGATAATTCCAGTCTCGTGAAAAGAGAAAACACCAATTTTGTTGGCGTCGGCCTCGCGCACTGGTCGAAAAAGAATCTCAAGGACTACAGAATAGATGCGATGACCATGGCTTACGAAAACGTCGGTCATGGCGTCGCTGTACTCGTTCACTTCCTCAATCTTATGAGAAATTGCGTACTGCTTAGAAAACGTGGACTGAGCGATGTCAGCAAGTGTGCTGATCACTTCAACACGATCACCCAGGTCAGGATTGACACGCTTTGCCAGCAACTTCTCAAAGATGTACATGGCCGTGGCTGCATCGCGTTTTATCGTAGCTCCCCGGCGTGTTTTCGCGCTGCGGCGCTCCGGAGCTGGCACTTTCGGCGTATCTGTGACATTGCTGAACATGGAGCCTTGATTGCTTCCAGCTTGCGAAAATGCACCAGAGGCCGTACTGTGCATATCATCGATGTTATCTGCGCGGTGGGCGTAGCGGCGGCTAAAAGTCCCATCTTTGCGGTAGCGTCGTTTGGAGGAGCGATCCTTTCCATCCGCGGGATATTCAAGTGGGCGGACTCGGCGAGCAAAGCCACCAAAGAAGGCCTTCAAAAAATTCCTCTCCGATCTCATGGCTTTCTTATCAGCTGCTCGGCGCTCCGAGCTGAGGCTCGGGCGAGGGCGAAGCAGGAACAAAGCACTAAACGATGATCGGGAAGAGCGGCGTCGAACGAGTTGCTTTTCCGCTCGGCGCTGAACGGCAGCCTGACGAACGACGAGATGCAAAATTTCGGCCAGGCGCGAGAGCAATGCCCTGAGCAAGGAAGATCGATTTGAGCGGACTGCCGACCTGAGCTCCAGAGCTGCTCGAATGGAGGTCATCCAGGGGGTGGATTGGCACGAGGCGATGGCGGCGACCTGTCGCAATGCCTTTTTGGCGGCGTTTGCCACGCGCATGTCTGGGGAGAAAAGGGTGCGCAACAGGGCGGGGGCGGTGCGCTTGCGGAGGGGCAGGGCGAGGCGATCGAGCTCTGCGGGATGGACGCCGGCATTCTGGGCGACTGCGAAAAGAGCGGCGAGAGCGCCTTGGGCGTCGACGGCGGCGATGAGAGCGGCGGCATCGGCGGGATGCGGGGAGACCTCGGCATGTCTCATTGCGCGATCGAGGCGACGGGCGATGCGGTAGACATGGGGATGGACGATGTCGAAGACGGAGACGGCGGACGGGGGAACGTGCGGGATGAAGAAGCGTGAGTTTGGACGGGGTTGCTGGTGGTGCGGGGGGGAAGGGTGAGCCTTGCGGACGCGGGTGACGTGAAAGACGCAAATGTCGAAGACATGGCGGGCGGCTCTCTCCCGGTCGGTGGGGGAGACGGCATCGAGACGATCGACGGCTGTGGAGAGGCGGCGCGCATCCGTCGAGACGGAGGGTTTTGCCATAGATTGAGGATGGGGAAGGGATGGGATGGGATGGGAGGGGATGGGATGGGATGGGATGGGCAGGGCGGGCGGGAAGTGGAAGGGGGTGGGATGAGCGAGTGGGATGTTGTTATTCTTGAACGGTGGTAAGGGGACCGGGAATAATTTTCAACGGGAGAGGAGAGGAGAGGAGGAGGGGTCGGAGCCGGAAGAGGAAGATGTTGCGTGGGGAAACCGTTGCGAGACCAAGCAGTACTGTACCGTGTACAGTACCACTCTTGTCACGGCGGGATACTTGGCGTGAGGAATAAGGTGTGGTGCTTGATTGACCGGGCGGAGATCAAGATCGAGGGCGATCAAGGGGGTGGGGGGG